AATCATAAATATTGATGAATAAGAAATAAATTTTTTTTTATTAAAATATACATTTCATAAAATAAATTCTTTTAAAATTTTTCCTTATTAAACACATTTATACGAATGAATAATTAGCAGTTAAATAATTACTTCGTAATATGCGCTTCATATATACATAAGTGTTCTAGAAAATAAAAGGATACATCGCACATAGATGTTTGTATATATAGCATTACAGAAAAATATTGTATAATTTTATCTCTAGGGCAGTCCAAAGCATCGTCCGACGAGGCAATTGGTCAAAGAAAAACTTCCACACAGATTCTCGGGAAGATCTTAATTGATATGGCAGGCACAAGGAAAGAAGAGTAGTATTCCGCCCGGTCATTTGGCAATGTTCCTTTGATCAATCGGAGTCGACGGCGGAAAACGTGACGTAAGATTTGCTGGACCAGTCATGCGGCTGAGAACAGAAACTACCGCCGAAGTTCGTGGCGAATTGGCCGACGCGTTTGAAGTCTTCTTGAGAGGGAAGCTTCTCTTATCATCGTGCTGGTCGTATAGCTGCAGGCGGAGGCTGAACGTACGTATACCCCGAAACGGAGCATTCCACATGGCCGGCTTCGAAACATTTCAATTACTTATGCGGTTTCAACTCTCACACACACACACATACACACACACACTCTCTCTCTCTCTCCCTCTCTCTCTCTCTCTCTCTCTCTCTCTCGCATACGCGCTTCCTTCCATTTTCCCGTTTCTCTCCATTAAGCGAGTGACTTAGCGACGATGTCCGTCAGCCTTTTGCAGTTTGCTTGATATGGAGTCTTAGAACCTTCCAGCTTTCGATATATAGATAAATCGTTTGAGTTACTGCTCGACATATTCTCGCGGTCTCTCGAATCCGCGGAAGATTAAATACCGTTAAGCGTAAACACGATGTTAGTTTATATGTATGAAATCGTATACACGTGGATAGTAAACTTGAACGATTTGTTATGTGATATCAGAAACCACTCATCTGCGAAATATTCGTGATTTTAATTTATTTAGCTTTAGTACAGACATTAATTCATTTAAATTCTTTCATGATATAGAAAATTATGATATAATAAAATGTGCAATGAGTACTTCTAAAAATGTGCGTATTAAAAAATTATATATAAAAGAAATATTAGAAAAGTAATGTTCTTTTGCGAATTAGTATTTTTATATTACAGGAAAATAAAGAAAACCAATCAGAAAAAAAAGATTCCCAATATACCATAGATGACCAATTTATCGTGTTAATCGTGGAATTATATAATTTCGGAGCAGTTTGTAATAAATAGTGTTGGTGATTTATTGCAAGAATAAAAAGTAAATAACTAAAGAAACCTATACAAGATAATTAATAAAAAAGTTACGAGTTTGAATTAAGAGACAAACAATTTTCCATATTTTTCAGGGGTGATGCGAATAAACAATAATTAAATTTGTAAGAAATCGATTCTCAATTTATCACATTAGACGCAGGCGTGAATGACTTGTTCACTCTATATAATTTATAATAAGTTATAATTCTCTTAATTATCATTTATAATAAAGATTATATTTCTATTTATTATTTGATAAACAATTCCTACTTAAATATCGTGATATTTAAATCTTGATATTTTTTCATATTCTTTTAATTGGAATCAAACGCTTTCGATCAAATGCTTCACTTTTCTTTTACTTCGTAAAATAACACGAATTTCGCATCAATGCTAAATAATGCGAAATGTACATTATTCAAATTAAGTTTTTATTTATTTTGACAATTGTATCACAAGTGGACTCGTTGTCCAAATGATTTTCGAGCCACTTTATGTTTTCCACTATGCACTTGTTGCATAGGAAAGTGCCATTCGCGAAAATCAACGTGCGATGTTATCCCAAACGTGTTGAAAACGATTTTGAAACGGTCATCTCGCGCTCGATTACGCTCGCTAGAGATAAAGTTTTATATCACTGTCGGCCGGCATAGGCACTACGAAATGCAGGGTTGCGCGGAAAAGCTGTTTAACCGCGAAACAGTATTGCCAGTAAAACTTTTCTCCTCGCGATTTTCCGTGTCAGTTCTTTTTTCTCTTAGCTGTCGAAGTGTTCTCCACGATAAAGCGTGATCTTGTCGATCCCATTCAGGAGCCGTTTCTCTTACCGTTAGAAACTCCACGAAAGCTAAGCACTTCCAGGTGTCCATCCGCTTCGAAAGTCACAGCTTCAGAGATAATCTCTCCCGCTCATACGAGATCCAACAGAAATCACTATGACTACATTATCAACTACATGTTCAAATACAGTCACGCGTTCTTATCTCCTCGCTTTGAGAACTTATCCATGTATTGGACTTACCGAGTATTCATACTCGAATTCACTGAGAATTACAATTTCAACATTATCTTATCAAAGCATTATATGCGTAGTTACATGTATAATATGTATATTGCGATTTTCTCTTGCAAAACTCCTCTTCATCCGCATAAATTTTCATGGGAATAATTTTAATCGATTTTTACGAATCTTTCGGTCTCGGAGAAAGTTTAGTTTCGAATTTTAACGACGCTTCTTCTTTTCTTTGCGTCTGCACGGCTCGAAAAATACGAGACGGTTTTATTTCGCCACCGGTGATCCTTGTTTCTATGCGGGTTTCATTCGCTCTCCTTTTGTCCATACCGCGAACGCTCGCACTAAAGCGGAACGCCGAAATAAATGGTTGGGGAATTATTCACTTTACGAATCTCGGTGAGTGGTTGTAGGGAGTGGAACCAAGATAAGATACGACTTCATTTCCGCCTCGCGGCCACGTTACGCTCTGCGAGCATCGTTCATTTCCTTCGTTCACGTCGGGGAATAACTGTACGATGTCAGGGCGCATCGAAGTTAATCTTTCAACATCTTGAGAGAAGACGCGATATCGAGTTCCCCAAGCGCGTCAACAAGAGTATTGCGGTTGAAGTATTATTGTATTATTAAAATCATTTTTGGTTATTCTTTTGACATTTATTGTTCATGATATATCGTTAGAAATATTTAATATACAGGATGTCTGGAAAATTATTATAACATTTCATGAATACTTTAAGATCTTTAAGATATTTATAATTTCAGGTTCAAAACAAATCAAAGTAAAATTTTTAACAAATTATGAATCCTTTTTTATACAGAAATTCCGAAATTGTTTTATTTTACTGAGAGGAAAAAGTACCTAACCAACACGCCGCTCGTGCGACACACATTGCACCGCATGTGATGCGATCCAGCAGAAGTTTTGTAAATTGGTCGCTTTGCTGAAACAAGGAGAATGTAGCGCAAGCGATGAATTTTAAGATAGGATACGTTGCACGTCCAGAGGCAAATCTAACCGAATTTATTCAAATCCCTATCGTTTCACCCTTCTAGCCGTAGGGCGGCAGCAATAAGTCACCGTCGCAGATCGTTTCTATGAATAATGCAATTTACGAGAAACTTTTTCCGCAGAACGAATAATATAGCGCGATGCAGAGGACAAGCATAAATATATTTCATCAACCCTTTCATATGTCAAGTTGAAAATAATACTTTAAATATGTACGTAAATATGCTCTTGAAAGAAGAGCAGCAAAAATAATATGTTTTATTTCATTTTTAACTACCATTTAAAATATATTTTGTAAGAGAATTTTTCAAAATTTTTTACAACTTTTTCATCTATATGTACAAATTATTTAATCATGCTGGATTTTCCTTTTTGAAGACTGTTATAATAGTTTTTCAATCATAAGTGATTCAAATCTGTACATTTTCACTAAACTCTATAAATGCAAATAGATAAGAATATAAATCTTACTTCTTACTTTATTCTAATTGTACTTTAACAGAATTTTAATTAAAGATTTAGCGAAGAGCACCGTAATCGCGAGATACTTCTTGGGACAGTTTCGGCGCTCTCATCGCCGGAAGGATAAGCGAAGCAAACGGGTTATCAGCGGAAAATAGGACGCAAGAGGGAAGATTCACCCATCGGATGTATCCCATAGTTGACACAGTTTCCTAACGGCGGTACAGTTTGCCGATCGATACCAACACGTCCACGTCGCGACTTCGCCTAAGATCACCGCAGTAAGCGGTACACGCCAACACGATGTTTCAATCTTAATAGGCCATTCTCGGTGCGCAGTCATATTCTCGGTGCACCACGTGCTACACGATTGATGTTTGGACTCATCGTTAATGTGATGATAATATCGATTGTGAATAACGGGAAGCTCTTCTGAGAGACTGTCTCGACTCTGGCAGAGATCTACGCGCTGTTGCAAACGAGAGCGATCGATCGGGATCATTTCTGTTGTACGGAATAAATTGATAACAATTGAGAAAAATGTGACTCTTAAATTTCTTTAAAAATGTTCTCATGTGGAATAGAATAACTCTACAAAGATTGATGCTTAAGAGCTTTTCGATATATCTTCTCTTTTCGCTATAATGTTAAACATCTTATAAATATATAATAATTTCTACTTCTTGGGAAGCTTGTGGCTTACAAATCCATTTCTGCATTCCATTTCTTTAAATTTAATACATAAATTTTGATGAAGCAAAAGAATCCCGGATATTTGCGGATTCCAAAATTCATACTCTAATATAAATCGCTTCTGACTTCAACCCACAAAATAAATCCTACTAGCAAGACGAGAGTCAGCTTAAAACGTGGAATTTTATTGTTATATTTATTTGTAATATCGTTGCTTCCGTTTCAACGTGAATCTGTCTTTGAAAGTACAATAAAAAAAAATAAATAAATAAAAAGCAAAAATAATGATATGTCTGTGAAATTGAATAAATTTCTTTGAGAGCATCACAGATTATATCAAGTAAGACACAAGTCAGTAAGTCGTCATATAACGAACGAGAAATGGAATATCAATATGGGACCATGGAGGCTTAATTTTTCGCCATAGCATTCTTGCAGCCTTGGAAAGGAAACGGGAAAGAATAAGAGTGGAGCTGAGACTCACCGATACTCCGATCCTTCGCTCAGCTGTCTAACCGTAATGGGAAATTCGCTAGGTCCGTGCGCTTTCAGAAGTTCCTGCAATCGCACAAGCCCCTCGTTGTTCTCGTAGATAATGGTGAAACTCTTCCAGCCCCAGGCCTTCACCAGATCGACGTACGCCTGGAACACGGATAATCAATCACAAGCTATGTTATTATTACAGTCGGGTTAACAGCTGCCGTAACGCTTTTACACGTCTTTCCTATACGATGTAATTTAACTCTTGGACTCTCTAAGTCGATTGTGATAATATGCCATCACACGAAGGCAACAAGTGCAACGAATTAATCTTTCATTAAAGAGTATAACACGTATAATGTAGTGAGTATCATTTATGTAAAATGTAAAATATCTCAAGTTATATTATATAGGAACGTATACATATAATGTAATTGTATAGGTATTATGCTATTAGTTATTGTTGAAATGAAAATTTAAAAAAATTTTGTAGAACCTGAACGTTAGCAATTACTTGTGATTTTTATCTCGTGCAATACATATACATATAGATCATTAATATAAATTTCTTTATTTCTTGATATAATAACACTACTTAAGTGATTAAACATATAAACAAATGGAAAGATTATATAATACAAAAAATAATTCTATCGCGATATATATTACTAATTAATTATCGTGCAAATTAATTGTTATATGACTATTGTCATTGTATAAATTATTTAAAAAAGAGTTTATTGTATTCGTGTTCTAGAATTTATTGCGTTCGTGCTGATCAAATATTCAACATCTGTTGTCATAACATAAGAGGAAGCTTAAAATATAAAACAAAATTTTATAAAAGAGATTAAAAGTCGGAATATTATCAAATTTTTAAAAGTTTAAGTGTGCTTCTGTAACATTAAGAAGATTAACTGACATTGTTGTACCAAAAATTTTTATACCATCGGTATTTATTAAATGTGTAAAGTGTCGATATATGTGCATTTACGAAGCGGCAGCACGAAAAAAAAAATGTAGATTTGTAAATGTGGAAATTGTGCGTGTTGTGATTCACTGTTAGCAATAAATTGCATACTGGAACGAAATACAACGGGACGCTGCAAAAAATTCGTGAACGGACATTCATGTTTTGTGTTTCGAATTCCGTTAGAATTTCGAATTCTGACAGTATTTGAGTGTTGACAATATGTTGCCGATGACATCGCTGGTGAATTGTTTGTAAATCACAACTGAGTCGGACGCAAACTCCATAGACATTACTTATTATCACGGACATAGAATATCGTAAAATACTACAGTTATCCGCCGTTACATTTTCTATCGTTTTTCTGCAGAGAAAAATTGTATATCAGAGTAAATTGTTCGTTAGAGATCATATTATATTCTCAAAATATAATATGTGCACAGTTATTTGCCCCAATGATGATCTCTAAAATCACTTTCACATATTATTATAGGTTCTCTATCAACCTTTCCTTCAATTATTCCTTCAATTATTCTGAGAGTGCCAAATTTATAATTCATCAATTAATATTGACTTATTAAAAATAATTGTTTGTGTTACTATCATCCAGCTAAAGAAATCTTATTTAAGTGCCTTTAACAATACAATTTATTTGTAAAATATTTTAATGATTTTAATGTATTTTTTAAGAAAAACTTTTTATCGTGTATTACATTTACTTGATTAAAGTTCATAAAGCATAACTATATTTCCGTTAAAATAAACATTTTGTGCTGCGCACTTTCTACATTATATTGTATTATGATGCGACGGAATAGCTCTTGTGAGAGTAGCTCGTAAGAGACTAGTTTTGCAGCGAGTAGCTCGTCTATAGTCCAAGCTTTTAACTGGGAAAACAAGTATCACACAGTCACGACGGTCTTCAATGAACGAATTAAAGACGGGCTGGAGATACTTTCGCGAGAATTCACTTCGCAGCCGCACTTTTTCCGATAATCTAAATTCACCATGAAAAAGTGAATGCATATTTTCCAAGAAGAAACCTCCGTTATAGTCCCGCATACTGTATCCCATTTTACTTCATTCTTTTTTAAATACGCTAATTTCAAGACTTTTTCAAGACTTTATATTACTGGCCTTTTTGAAGATTTCCTTCGCTGCATTTTTTATGATACAACCAAATATTTAACTGCATAATACTCAAAATGATTTTAAGCCGTTGAAATTACAATACGTTATATTACATGTTCTAGACTGTCGCCTTAATTTTTATTTTGGCAACACAGATAAAGTCATTTCGTGAATTTTGTTAGTTGAGTTAGTTGAGTTCTGCACATTTAATTTCTTAAAATTACTTTTTTATTACGAAATTTATTTTAAATTATGAACATCTTGCCATTCATATTCTCTTTTTTTAATTTCTTAGAAAATAATTTAACAGAAAATTTTGTTTTATTCTTTATCTTTTACAAAATAAAAATAATGTTTCTACTAAATTTCTTATTAAAAGAATATAAATCGGCAGGTTAAATCATAATCTTTCTTATTTAAAAAAATATATATGTATAAAATTTTTCACCCATAAAATAAACTTCAGAATGTGATCTCATTAAAAGAATCAACTTTTGTTAAAGAATCTGCATTTTCTGATGCATTTTACAAGGAACTACATATCTGATTGCATGTGTTATCTGACAATATTGTTTTTGCAAAATGATAAAAAAATAGATATGTTTTTTTATCATGGAAACTAGTCCTTGTTAAACATTACGCCACAACGTCTATGCTGCCACGCAATCGATTGTATAAGTATGCTCTTTAATAAAAGTCTTTTGGTGAGATCTGTTATCTTTCCTTTGATGTTTATCATGAATCTTGAAACACCCTGCATATTATTATTTTATAACTATACATCTTTATAAAGCCTTTCTGAATATAGTGTATCTGGTTGTTTTAAACACAAGGTCTATTTTGAAACTTTTTCATGTCTTTTGTTTACTTTATTATTTATAACTGTTTTCATTAATAATTAATATTAAATTTGTTTTTACTATAATTGTACTGAATGTTTGTTGCGTTAAATAAAAAAATGCAATAAATATTAATTTTTATAGAAGTTATAGGGAATGAACGATTTTGCTGAAGTATTTAAAAATTTAGCTAGATACAGATCTAAAAATAATTTTGTTTGGACCATCAAAGTAATTATGTAGGACGCTTAAATTGGTTTTTAGAATATTAAAATTTTTTACAGCATTGTCAGCAACACTTAAGCGTTCTATATAATTATTTTGGCCTAATAAAATTATTTTTAGATATGTATCTAACTAAATTTTTAGATATTTCAGCAAAATCGTTTTCTCCATATGAAAAGATAAAGTTGATTTAGGTGTGTCATACTAAATGTAGCCTTTATAAAACGGATACTATGACATTCCAGGATTAATATTTATATGTATTTAATATACAATATATTATACATCTCAAAATGTCATGTGAAAATAGCCCAAAAATAAAAAATCAAATTTTCAGATCAATTCAAAATATGGCAAACAATATTACTCATTACTATTTTTGATATTTTTATAATTGCAGTTAATATCTTTTTATATGAAGAATTTCTAAGTATAAATAAAAAAACGGACACTTGTATGAAGTTTGTGTAATTTTCCATTCTTATGCATTTTAGATTTGTATTCTATATATGTATATTTATGATTTAACTATTTTTGCTGTCTTATTTATGTTTATATATAATATTTATATAGCCTGAATTTAGCAACGCTAAAATCGAATTAATATGAGCTGATTATTCTCAAAGTGTTGTAACTTGGAAACACAGTTAAGTAGGATGCAAGTAGAAATTAATGCAATGTACCTACTTTAGTAAGGAAGATATTCCAAACTTATCTTATTCCACTCCCCAAAATCAACTCGTCCATGAAATTTATGACAAGTGCTATGCTGCGTGCGAAACTGCGATTTTGCAGGTATAGTAACTTACAATTTAGAACGTCGGATCGCTCCACAGTTTTATTCATACTATTGCTCGTTATTTTACGCGATACGTATTCATATAAAAAAGTAACATGTAGATTTTTCAACGATACCATTGTGTATCATTTTTGACCTTTTTTTTTTACCTGTTAACAGAGATGGTGCGGTTATCGACCCCGTCCGTTACTTGTCCATTTGCGATGCTAACAGTCTCGTACTGTCACGGACAACGGTTGCTGGCGAATTGCCAAGTTGCATTCATTAATAATATGGTGATTATATACTGTAAGTTTTTGCCGAATCGGGATTTACTGAATTTAACAAGTTACACTCTTAATTGTTTAACAAATCAGTGATGTGGGAATGCACTGCTTCTTCTGTAATTTTGTAAAAAAATAACGGGATAAAAATTTTGATGAATCGTCTGTTTACATACTTGATGAAAAATGGATTAGAGATAACGTATTTCCAGGATACACTAATTTCAATATATATTATACATATATTTCAGAGACGAATTTCCTTTTCGCGATTCGCAAAAATGTAATATCGAGTTAAATTAGGTTGAGCAAACAACGTTTGTTTATTCAAACGTTGTTTGTTCAACTCGCGCTGTAATATGATATGTAATGACAAAATGTAACTTGTAGATTGACTTTCTAAAATGTCTGCAAGTTTGGTAGATGTATGCCAAATGGACACATCGGTCATTATATTCTTTCCTCATATACAATATTTTGTCAAATTTATCAAATTTTAAAAATTAAAATCTCTGTATACAACCTGTACTTAATAAAATATATATATATATATTTTAAAATTAAATTACATTAAAATAATATTTTAGAAAAACAACTGCGATACAGCGTAATTATTTTATTCACATTTATACATTAAAAATAAATTATATGTGAAAATATAATTAAAACAGTCATAATTGAAAATTTATTTATAGATAGACATCGGAAATGAAGTGATAGCTTTATAAACCCTAGTTCTCTGTATTTTACAGATTTTATTACAAATTGATAGCTTCGTAATGAAGTTGGAGGCACTAACTGGGCAAAACAACATTTTTTAAATATTCTCCGCGTAATGTGAAATTATTATCTGTTTAATAAGACCGATGCAATTTACACAACGATCCAATTTCTATAACCCTCTCTATTCTCCGCCCAGTTCCCAGGAAAGGGAA